CATCAAGGCCTTCCCGCAGTGCTTAGACACCCTAAAATAACGCGCTATAGCGCGAACCCGCGACGCAGCCGTTCACAAGTAGGGCTTGTCTGATTATGTTGTTTAAGTTCTTCTGCATCCTCGGACGCGCGACTTGACCATCCCCCCGTGTTTACCTGCGGGACCCGCTCGTTTTCCGTACTCTCCTTCAGAGCGCTCTCTCGTCAAGAGTAGACTTTCGAATGGGTCCAAGAGTCGAAGAATTTTCAGAAAGATATACTTATTTCAACTAAGAAAACTTCGTATTTCGAACAGACAAACGGATAGAAGATACGGGAAATGAAAGATTTGTTGTAATGTGTAGCAACTCGGCAAGGATTGTTGCTCGTTGGCCAGTTCAGGTGCTCTGAGAGAAGCAAATGCTTGATCTTCGTCCATATATCAATAAAACATTTGCACAGAACATCTACACCGAGAAAATCTATGTGGCCTTGTAGGAAATCCAAGCTTGCAATCTGTTTGCTACTTTGTCTTCATAGGAATCAGCGCTGAAATCAGCAATATCGTTTGAAGATTCGCAACACCATTGATTCAATCTTAACCCGACAGTGTTCGGTAGGGGTGGGCTTCGTTGCGCGTGTCCGTCGAAACTGGGTCACGCCGCAGCCGTCGCATGCGGCGGCTCAGCCCGCGGTACTTGACAGACGTCGCAGCTGTAAGCGGGGCATACGATTTGCGCTTTCTCCACGGTAGTCAGCCAAAGAGAAGATAACATAGACAAATGCGAATCGGCCGCTCCACTCACACTTGGTGGTATTGTAATGTCATCTCGAGACCTCAGTGGAGTGCGCCGCGCGCGAAGTGGGCGGGGTGACCTACTTTCGACGGACACGCGCAACGGACGTTCGCCGTTCGGTAGGTATCCTATTGCATCACTAGAAATAGGAAGCATTGAGAAATGGCGAGCTTTCGTCTGCCCTCTATCCTATTCGCGGTGAGATGCCTGTTAATGGAGACGCAGAGAAAACGACAAAAACGCTGAGTCACTACACACCCGGTTGACAACGGTCCTGTAACCGAGAGGTAGTTGCTACTGGTCCTGCAACGAGTTGCTTGATTTTATTTAGACAACTGTAGCAATAAGTTGACAAATGTCGCACGCAACTCGTCCGCCAATTTTTTAGGGTGTAGATTTAGTTGCGAGTCCAATCCATTGTACAGTACTGATCTGCTTTTACACTTTCGCACTATACTCGGCTCGGGAGCCTTACTTCTCGGGTATCCTGCACTTACACAACTTTCTTCTATGAATATGCTCCCAGCAATGCAATCCTCATGCTTCACATCTTATTTTTACTAATCCTCACTCGCACTAATCTACTTTTGGTGTATATTCTTCTCCTCAAGTCGACCGCATCGAAGCATGTCTCTCTTTCGCAGATCTATTTCAACAATGGTATCCACATACATCTTGTTCAACAACATGCTTCTTCTCTAGAAGCTGGACTTTTTTACTGTTGCTATCCTCAATTATTCACCTTTCACTTGCTTATGAAAGACGTGAATAGCGGAATGGGCATCGTGTTTTCGCACCTACTCAAGAAGTAACTCTTCCATGCAAAAGTATGCAACCCCTTTTGGAGCGGAATTCGTTAGGAAAAGGAAAAGCAAAGCGACTGGAAGGCTCACGATTACAACTGCAACACTTGATGGTACTCAATTCAGGATAAAGGTTTAGAGTTGGGAAAAAATTTGTAAAATGTATTAAATGAAGACTACTGCTCGACATAGCGGAATGTCGCCACCATCTACCACGTCAAGCGTAACCAGAATGTATGAGTCGAAAAACTACTTATTAGTTAGTGACAAAAATAATTCTGGTTTCCTTCTCAAATTACACGAGGATCATGATGCAAAAATGCTCACGATAACAGATGTAAATCTAGAAATTCAACCTGCCTAATGAAGCTTCAACTGCTTAATAGCAACGAGTAGAGCAATGTAAATAAATTGGTAGTTGGTTGCGCAGTAGAATAAAACCAGAGCAGTATCTGACGAATTCGGCAGCAGAAATCGGAGTAGCGGCGTGCAGGGCCATCGGCGCCCCAGCTCAATTTTTGGGGTACGTTCATCCCCCGCCTTTTGTAGGGAGGTCTCCCCTCCCAGGTTGGGGAGTGGATGGGGTCGTACTTCCCTGAGCTCTAGCTGAGGTAAGGTCGCAGAGGCAAACGTCACATGATTACCGAGGGCTGTCGATTCATCACCTGTTTGTAGGGAAAAAACTTTGCTCCATTGCAACTATCTTGACACAGAGCAGGGGTAAAAACACCATTTGAACGTTCGCGCCCATCGCAAACATTCCCTTGGGGAGAGTCTCCCTTTCCCTACGCTGGGCGTTATGCATACGGCCCATCGTGGCAACAGAGGTCCCACAGCGAATCTTGCAAAAGTTGACAAAAAGCCAGGGCTGGCCTTTAGACGTTGGCTTACTCAGCTTGCGCAAAAAATTATGCGCTCAGTTGTTACATAGTTACTCGTTAAAGACGGGATAATTGTTGCAAATGTTTTCGATTACAGTCAAGCTCGCCGTGCAGTAACGCCGCGCTTTTGCATTTGGTATCGATTGCATCGCAAAGAGCGTCGGATGCAGTGTGAGGTGCTGGTTTTCTCTATGGGGTATTACTTTTTTATTGGTTTCTTCCGTTACATTCCTTGCATTTAAATTCTCAAGGACTTCCAGCGATGGTGTTTCAGAAGATGATCAGCGAAAGTGCGTACATTGAATTGTTGAAAAACTGCTCGAAGTGGAACGAAAGAGCCAGCAATGAGCGCAGGGCGAGGTACGTGCTTCGTTCAATCACCACTTTTTTTTCAATGAGCATATGTACTTCACTAATGAAAAAAACTGAAACAGTTTGAAGAAATTCGGGTTTCGATCATGTATCCCATTGAGTTTGATGCGTCGCTGTGCTTCAGATATGCGATATGCGCTAATTCGTTATGAAAAAAACAGCTGCGTAAATCCAAGTTTTTCCAGTTTTCTTACGATTGTAAAATATCGACCAGATTTTCAATCGCTCTATACCTTCACTAGGTATCTTTAAAACAAGCAGAGCACCAGATGTAACTGCTTTTTTTATGTAAGGGCATCTTTATTCAAAAGGAACTACATTTAATCATGTCGACCTTCCTTTATCTGGGGTGAATTGTAATCCAAAAAGATTTCTACATTTTGGAATCTTGAAACTGTCTGGAGTAGTTGAGAAGGAGCTATGCGGTAGTTTCACTTTGTCTGTTCACTTTGCTCCAAGTAACTTTTCTAATCATACCTGTGGGATTGCAACATCATTTTGATAACCATACTCATAAAATCCGGTGAGTTCAAATACATGACTCCCAGAAACTGTTAGGTTTTCCGCTTTTCAAGTGAGCTGGTTAGTAAATGTTTCTCGCTATAAGTTTATGTACAAGGTTTTTGTTTCTAAGTCAGAGTGATTTGTGATCTTCAGAACGGCCCGCGTTTAGTCCATTTTCTAAATTGCAAATCTCTACGATGGTCTCGAGCGACAAGACATCAATCAAAAAAAAAAAGTATTAATCAGAAATTCTCTACTTGCAGGAAGAAAAACTCTCTGTATTTCCTCCCTTCGCAAAATTAATCTCTCTCTGTCCTAATCTCTTGTGCTAAGGATCCTAGAAAATAATTTTTATTCGCTTACGTTTCGGCTTTATCGCATTCTTCAGATTCTGGAAACTCAAAGATTATTGCTATCCATTCTTCGTTCAACAATTGAAACTTCAAAAAACGGTTCTTAGGCCCGGTGTTTCTAAACAAGCATGATAACCACCAACATTTTCACCCACCCGAGAGACAGGTCATTTAGTCGGCCACCGCTAAACTGACTCACAGGGACTTGGAGGTTGCTTCAGATGATATTCCCTCTCTCTCGCCGTGATACTCGGGGTAAACAAAATCCATAGAGGTCAGGAAAAAAGCGCGAGTTCGCTAGCTATAGATAGGCCCTCGTCCTTCCTTCTCATTTTTGAGGACTTCGCGTTGATGAAAACCTTTCAAGTGCTTCCGCGCCGAAGTGAGGGGTTCTCGTGACAGAATTTCAAATGTAATTCGTAACACCGCTTTTTTATGGGACTCTTCGTAGTGAGCACCCAAGAGGGTCTCCAGTCTTGCTCGATCTAAGCCCTCCAGGTGTTCTTTGACCCTAGCGCACAGGGATCACACAGTCTCCTCAATATATTCATCTTCACATACATAGGTCACCCTCCAGTACATTAGGGCAGATCACGCAACTGGCAGTGAGGCAAATTCGATCGTAGCAGCAGTTTCGAACCAGTCACTGCTAAATTTCCCGGTGAGACCTCGACCACTCGTAACATGTCCTTTAGGCCACACCTGTGCAGCACCGCCTTTATTTCAGAGCTCATAGGCTGTTTCAATAGTCCGCCGGCGTGCCGGCCGCGGTAGTGCTATGGAGGGGGAGGGAAGCAGACGGTCGGTCGACGCGGTCGCGTCGCGCCCAGCCCTTTCGAAGGGCTGAAAGCGAGGAAAAACAAGATCAAAAGTGGCTTATGCAAATGGTTTTTGATTTGTTTTTCTTTGCTTTCAGCCCTTCGAAGGGGCTTGGGCGCGACGCGACCGCGTCGACCGAGCGTCTGCCTTCCTCTTCCTCCCTAGCACAACCTGCCGGCGGACTATGAAAGCAACCATAGCGGCACTTATACAGGGGATACAGAATGTTAATTTATCCAAGCTACGTTGCTGGGGTTAAGTTGTTTCTTCTGAACCACCGCTGAACACCTATAGCCATGATAATGGCTCTGACCAAGGAGTGTCTTGGGTGCTCATTTCTAGGTGGTCCGGCCAATATTATAGGCAGATCAAGGGACTGGCCATGGAGAAGCAGTTGGTATCCGTGCTAGCGATAGCCTAAGTGACCAAGATAGAAAAGCCATTACTGGATCGTCTCCCTGTTGTGCACTGCCGCTGCATAGGCGACTGTTTTGTCGTCTGTTCAGCGGGAGAGTAAATGGACATGTGTTATGACCTGACAACAGGCAAGCAGGAAACATTAAATCCACGCGCGAGCAGCCGAAAGAGAATTGGCTCCTTTTTCTTAATACACAAGTCCAGCTTGAACGGGGTTTCTACCGTACCAAATGGTATCGAAAACCCAGTAACAAGGACATTCTAGTACACTTCAATTCGGCGCATCCCTTGTACAAAGCGAGCTATCATAGGTAACATGTTTAGGACGGCCATCTTAGTCTCATCCGGGAGGCAGGAGAGAACGGACTTTTTGGAACTTGCAAAGGAAAGTGCACATTCCAAAGTTTACGTCCTTAATGACAGATATGGGGCTTATAATAATAAACAACACGGCCCCACCATCGATAGCTTGGATAAAAATGTTCTGTATTCTCTATATAAGTGCTATGCTATGAGCTCTGAACTAAGGACAGTGCTGTACAGATGTGGCCTGGAGGACATGGTGCGAGTGGTTGAGGTCCCACCGAAAAACCTAAAGCAGCGACCAGTTCGAAACCGCTGCTCCTATGGATCGACTTGCTTGACCTCCTTTTGCGTGGTTTGCCGTAATGGACGGGGTGACTGCATGACGTAAGGCGTGATCTACCTGATCACATGGGTTACAGGAATGTTGTCAACCGCATGTGGAGTGACTTAGCGTTTTTGTCGTGTTCCCTGCTCCCTCTTCAATAGACACCTCATTTGCAGAAGGATAGAGCACAGACGAAGAGCTCGCCACTCACTGCTTACAACCCAATACAAACTGCTGGTTTCAGATTGATTCATTGTTGTTGCAGACTTTCGGATGATGTTGTTGTTCTCAGGGCTTACTAACATCGAATAAGTTTAGAATACTGAAAAACCTGGGTTTCCTGCAATACCAC